TGTGAGTATAGTTGTCAACTGGGAAACATCTCCGAACAAGAGTGTTGCCTTATTACAACTTCTAATTAATTTCTTCCCTTTTTTTTTCCTCTCATAGAAATAAAAAGTGTTTCAATTGTGGAGGGAGAGGACAATTCTACAAGGAATGTGCCTCTCCTTATGGAAAAGGAAAAGGATGAGGAAGAGGAAGAGGAAGAAACAGAAGAGGCAAGAGAGTAGGAAGAGGGGGCATCGTAACAGTAGCTGGGGGGTGTACATGGTGGTCATGCCCAGCACATCACCTTAATTTTTTTTTTTTTAAATAAAATAAAAGTGGAATCAACTGTCTTTCATTCATTTTTAAAATGTCATTGCAGCAGATAAATTCAGCTATAGCTGCAAATAATAATTTCTTACCCAGCCTGAGCACCATAATAGAGAACATTTCCCTGAGGTCCTCACAAAAGCAACTGATGGTCAATATTCCTCAGTAGAACTGGAGCAAGCAAAGTTAGTAAGTGATTTATTGTATTGCACTTAGACTAAACTTTTAAATATCATATTTGCTGCCTTTCAAAACAAAAATAAGCCGATTATGATGATTTTAGTGGACCAAATCAGTGGTGGTATTTACTTCAAGACTACCTTGCCATAAAGTATTGCACATGAAACTTCATTTTCCTAACTGTTACAAAATGGTATAGCCCCCAGAACTGAGGATATAACTCATCTCCAAACCCAGCTTTTTCGCAGAATTGTGAGATTTTTTGAGCAAATAACTGAAGACTAATTCAGTCATTTCTGCTAAATCTTTCACCTAGGACTAGCTTGGAAAAATTTCAATAGATTTGAAAACCATCAACCATCATACACATGTTTAGTGATGATGTCTATGGACATTCCGCCGCATAGGCTGATTTATACATCGGTGGCACTGACTCGTAGGGTAACGTGTGTATTACATTGTACTGTCTAACAGCACCCCTCAAAACGGCTATCTCAGAGTATCCACTATAACTTAGTTCTCTACTGAATTATTAGAAGACCTAGATAGCGAAAACATGGAACGATTACTAAAAGAAAGGTCCAAGAATTAATATACAAATTAGTATCAAAGGCAAATGACTTGAACAACAATTTTTTTATTCGTCGTTAACATTCTTTATCAATACGCGGCAGTAACAAAAGAAACGACAAGCGAGTGGCTAACTGACAAAAGCAATTATGGAATACTTTTCATACGACTCCTCGCTGACAAAGCTGTCAACTACTTTGTACTTACCTCTCCTGAATGAGTTAAAGTCGGCCATCAAGACTTGCAAGAAAAACTCCGCCCTACGAAAGGCTGGCACAAGATCTCCAATATAAATTAGAACTTTTACGGTTAATAAAAGGAGAAATACGATGCATCCGCGTTTTACATCATAATTCGAAGTAGAGGTGAATTTGAGGCCTAACGACTGCTTGTGCATTCTGGGAAAGCTAAATGCAAGCTCTCATTGGAGCAATAAAGAGGTGTGACGGAGGTGTGTTCATAACCATGGTTACTAAAATGAACCCTCTTACCTTCGAGGCCGAATGCTGCACGTGGGAAAATAGTAACTCATGTATTTTCTTCGACTGCAACTGGTGGATAAACATTTAATGCGGATATATTGTAACAGCATCACATGGATAAACATTCCTATCTCAGGAAAGTAATTTATCGGCTCCACCATTGCAAGCTAGTAAAATAATCACAATTATTTACCAAGTATCAACTCATCTAAACTAGGTTGCAAAATTTGAGACCTGCTCCTCTTCTAAGTTTCCTAAAGCAAAGGAATGTCGACATTCAGAAAATACTGTTACAGGAAATATTGAATTCACCCTATAGCAGCCAAGCTGTGAATGATGTACACATGTACCCTAACACACAGTGTGAGAATGAAAACCAAGGGCAAGGATTTAGTTATGATTATCGATATATGCGACAGTTGTGCGCTCGAAATATTTCCAGTTGCAGTAAATCAATTTCCAGCGGAAAAATGTGAAGAGATAAAGCGAAGCGAAGAGGGAGAAGCGACCAGCGGCGAGTACTGGCTTTATTCCATCATAACGGGAAAAACAGTTCTTGTTTCTTGCGATATGGAAAGAGAGGGTAACAAAACCGAAGTTTTTGTTGTTCTTGTAGTTGATATTCAGAGGTGAGGAATTAGCATGGCGGTCGGATGCAAACTCAGGCTCTCTGCGAACATTTGTATATTTCTCTGCATTTATGTGTCTTTTGTAAACTACAAGTCCTTATATCTGCAGAAGAGCACTTTTCTAAACGACAGTGATGTGTATTTTGTCTCAAAAGTGAGCTGCAGAACTGAAATTGCGGGTAATTTACGTCAACAGAGGAATCCGTCCGGAGATAAAGAAGTTTAGTAATTCGCTCAAAGCTGTTATGCTTTGTAAGCTCTTTCATCGAGCCTGTTTCGCCCTAGCTTTAATTGCTCTGGCTGGCGATATCGAGTCCAACCCCGGCTACCAGACGCTAGACGACATAAGGAACACTCGTGGACTAAAAATTGAAAAGGTCATAGGCCTACACAGACTCCCCTGTGTGGTTTTACGTTTGCGACGCAAAAGCCTTTAATTAAAGCTTCGCTCTGACGAGTATGTCTTTGAGCGATTTACCTCTTTTGTATGATATAATCGGAGGCGTTTTGTAAATTGTTTTCAGCAGTGGCTGATTTTGGATGAGGTTCCATTCTTGCATCAGTATTTGTTTCAAATTTTTAACCCCTGGGTGGTATGCTGTCACAAAAGGCAATATTTTGCCTGTAGTTTTTTTTATAAGTGTCGACTGCCTTGCGGCAAACGAGACCTCAGTTAACGTTTTTTCAATTAATTTCTCAAGCGTATAAAGCATTTATTGCCCTTCAGGGCGCGTCTGCTTTTCTATAAAAAGTCTTGTTATGCCCCTTTTTAAATATGCTGATCTTGTATGGGGCAATAAACATAATATTACCCTTATGTCTAGCTTGCAAGTTTTGCAAAATAAGGCCGCTAAAGTTATTTTAAATAGACCATTGTACTCATCCTCCACTGAGGCATTAGCCGTTCTCAAGTGGCTGCCTCTAGAGAAAAGGCGATTTCAAAGAAGGTGTGTACACGTATACAAATGCATCGATGGCTTAATTAATCACGATATAGACTTGATTAAACAAGACGTACTGTATAGGCATAATACACGTAACAAAGGCAATTTTAGATTACCACGTGTCAAAAGAAATTGAGGGAAGCAAAGAACACAATATCATGCCGTTTCCGATTTTAACTCCCTCAGTCATTAGATCAAAGACTCAAGGAATGTAAATAGTTTTAAACGTAATGTTTTTAAGTTTTTAATATAGCTACTTACGTTTAATTTTTACTTATACTTATTTTTAATTTTTGTGCATTTTTTGTATCTTTTTAATCCCTTTGCAATTTTATAGCTTTGTTGTTTTTTTTTATATATATCTAGTTTTGAGGTCCTTTTTGAAAACCATATCTTTTATGAAAGAGTTTCCTCAATAAAGATGATTATTATTTTATTAAATATCAATAGCTGCTGGAAAAAAACGATTTAACTTTAGTGAGGTTAAACAAAAAAATATATAAAGTAGTATATCAATCAAAAGTTACACAGTTCATAAGTAATTTTATATTGGTTCTAAAGCCCTTTTTAGTAGACTGCTGAGGGAGGACTTGCTTTATGCGCCGCTTGATACGAAAACACGAAACTCAATCAGGGATAAAAATTGGGAACGTAATTGCCAACCACATGCAGCGGTACTAACTCTGGGGTTAGAGGTGTAAGAGTAAAATTGTGATCAATGCATTTTGAAAGATTGAGTATTGAGCTAAATACAGTACAACCATCGATCCTTGTGAAAAATCTTTACAGCAATGACGCACAATAATTAGGGCTCCAATACTTATATATTATCGCTAACTGTAACCAGCATTTTGCTAACATCCATTTCAACAATGTTGTCTTGAAGTAAAACTTATAAGAAGATCTTAAGTATTTCATACCTCTATATAATTTAACAACATTTGTATGTGATATATTGCTCTACTGATTCCTTATTAACAGATAATGATATTACTATTTTTTAATAGGAGGGGGGTTTAATCGTAGGAAAGCTTGAAAGTATCTACAGATTGTTTTTTTTTTTCAGCAAATTTCATCATGGATATATTGCAGTATACTCATGCATTAGTTATTATTAAAGCTGACTTCCTGTACTCATTAACAATTGGCTTATACGTCAGCGTGCGTTCATCGAGATGTGAAGCACGCGGGAAGTTTGGAGAGCACGTAAGAGTTGCTCGAGGCGTAGCCGAGAGCAACTCTAGCTTCTTGAGTTGTTTCCCTCTTCTTGTTTCCCTCTTCTTGTTTCCCTCCAACAATTAATTATGATCTAACTACGAAGGAAACCAACTTCTCTCTAAGTCAAGGTTAAAGTTCACTTTAGACCTGAGCTGAGTGACGACCGGAGAGGGTGAGTAAATTGGCTCTTTATGAGGCACTACGATGTGAAGGTAAGCTTCCTTTCTACTGTATACAGAATCTAATTTGTTTTGATCAAAAACACAGGCGGTATTTGTTGTCTGGAGGTAAAGTTTCCTTTCCTATGTACTGACATAGCTTGCTTCGCCTATGGTTATTTTGCCAGATTCAAATAATTAACTCTTTCACATTCATCATACGCTTAGTTCCGCTTACTTTGATCACACAGAGCTAAACAGAAAGATTTAAAAGCTGATATTAAGGGATCTCTTCACAAACAAAGGTCAAGTTTTTCAAGTCAACAACTTTTGAAAATACAAAAGTGACTTGGAATCTTGAGGTTATTTGTTTGACGCACTTACCCTACTATTACCTCTTGACGTCACGAGTGTCCGCTTTTTACTCAAACTTCCTGCGGATAGAAATATTGACTTTTTTTCTCAAACATCAGAAAGATCACTTTATGATGTAGTATAAATACATTCTCAAGATACTCATAAGAATTTTTTATTGAATTTTGCTCAAAAGAGGATGAAACTCATCTTCTCTTGATGTTGCTGTCATGTGAATAATACCTACATTAGTTGGGGCCAAACTTATAAGCATTGATACTTGAAAGAAATAGTTACTAATCATCCGTTTAACAATTCTTCGAAGGGGACTTTAAGTCCTCTCAACTTTGTGCGATTTCATGGTGGCTCTGAGCCTAATCCATAGAACGTGTCTGAAAAAATTTGCGTAAAACTGCATCTGAATCAGTTAATCATTAATCGAAAAGAAAAGCTGAACGATGTCGCTTCTAGTTATTGGTGCTTAAAACACTCTAATGGTCGTTTGTGAAAAATAATTCCGTTGCTATCGTAACTTAATACGACCTCTCATTTCTAACTTTTGCAGACCGAAGACTTTGTGAAGTTTTTCAAGTCATCCTAATTGTACATCCAATTGTTTCACCTATCCTATATTTCTAACATTACGTACAAAGTAACTAACGTTATCTTATCACGTGAAAGATAACCAGAATTTGACAAGTAATCCAATGTAACAATGTCTACTTACACATCTCCCGTGTGTTCATTAAAATTATGTATAAAGTTTTTAATGCTCTAAGAAGCCAAACTCTTTACATCAACTTTGCCAAACTATTGTTATCTTTTAAAGTTTTGGATATGCAAATACAAAACGACATGTTAATTGGTAGGCTTATTTTCCGAACATCATAATTGAACCTTCCAATGACATTTTGATGCCTACTTTTTAAAATGGTCTCTAGCAGATCTTCTTATTTTATTAAAACTATACCAAGTACTTTGTTAAACGCTCCAGTGATATAATGGCATCTTAATTCCCCCTTCTCGTTCCGAACAATGAACAAACTAACTTTTGGGTACCTTTCAAACACACTTTTTAAATCGTCAGCAATCCCTGGAGGTAAGTTAAAATCGACACGATGAAACTGCACATCCCCGTTTTCAAAAGATACGTTCCCGTAGCGGACAAGTGTGCTTAACAGCAAAGTTTCATTGTCGGCAATCTGTACTCCCTCTACGTCTGGGTCTTCAGCGCTCCTTATTTCGACGGTATATCTCAGGTAGCCAGAAGTGTCTGTAAAGAATTTGACGAAGGCCAGCGCAATGGTCTTATATTTCTCAAAAAGATTTGCATAGATGGAATCTACGACTTTGGAATCATGAATCTTGTTTAAAAGATCTAACCGAGATTGAAAATTCTTTCCGTAGAAAAGCCTACACTCTAGAATAACAGTTTCTTGATGGGCTCGTCCTCTGGTGGCAGGGTAATTTGCCGTTGCTCTTCGTGGCTGCAGTGCTTGAACTTGTCGGTCCGTTTCACGATGCAATCCCCACTCTGAAGAATTTCCCTGATTTGGACCTATTCGCGTTACATCTGAACTCAGAGTCAAAAGCTGAAGCAATGCATCTGGTTCTAGATTTACTATTCCACGTTTAAACCAACCAGCGACGATCTTTTCCGTTTCATTTACGTAGTCTTTAACGACTTTCTCGACCCTTAATTCGTCTTGTTTGGATAGGGACGAAGAGCCGCAAATCAATACGAGAATTCGTGCATCTGGACAGAAACAAAAAGCCACCGCAGAAGTTACTTCAACAAATAAGCTGGCAACTATTGTTTTATTACCTAAGTCAGTTGAAAATGTAAATTGGCCACCGTTAAGTTTCAAAGCTGATGTTTCAAGCGTTAGCCCTTCGTCAGAGCGAATGGGGGAATTGTGGGTGGTGTGTATTTATATGCAGAAAATGGAGCAACTTAAATGGCGGGAACATGGTAACGAGTAAAACAATAATGAATTACTTGAATAAAAAGCGTTCGTTGAGATCGTGGAAATAAAGAGTGTCGATTCGAGAGATAAAATTTTGTTACAGCCAACACGCACTTGAGTACGTTGACATGTAAGACAAATTATTGAAGAAGGTTAAGAAATCAATGATGTTTACAAAAATAAAGCACAGCATAATAAATTTTCCCTTTCACCAATTACATCTCATGCAAACCTTAAAAAAATAAAACCGTTGTAACGTAACAGCTCCATATGCGAGTTGGGTATTTTCGATTAACATAACTTCGGAAATAGGAAACTACTTTAGGAAACAATTTGGAGGTCAGGAAAACAAAAACGTCCCTTTCTCCTCTCTCCCCCTCCCCGGCTAAAAATTAGCCAATCCCGGCCAACACCCTGATTTTACCTGTCAGCCCATTTAGAGAGCTAATAGGGATGTGTACCGGGATTGCACACCAAGGTTCCATCGTATTAATTAAAATCATGGATAATAACGAATATCCTACAAAGGATTAATGGAGGTCTAAATATGTCTGAACTGGAGACGGCGATTAAAAAAATCGGCAACCATCGCTGAATCTTCACATAAACAAAATAGGGCGTGCAATCTAAAGCCTCTCAGTGTACTGAGTTTAATCATTGTCTAACTTTCTCTGATGGTGCACAAAATTTCTCGAGTTTGTCTATTTGGGATTACAATTCTTAAAAGAATTTTTTTTGCCATGCGGGACTAAAACATGAGCTTTTGACACAACAAATCTGATCATCTTCATTCAAAACTAAATAATTAAAGGTGTCAACACCAGAGTACTAATACTTTCTGTTAGTAATACTTTTAGATTTAATTGCTGACGAACATGTACTTCTCTAACCTTTGGGGCTTTCAAGACCTGACGAAAGATCTCCATAGTGACGCAGGGAACTTTCTGGTTTTAGTGGCGGCTCTGATTCATATTGTTGTTCGCCTGACAAGGAAAAACATCTACGAAACGGAGGTATCAACTCCTTCAATCTTGATGGCGGTGGTGTTGCCGCCTCTGGTTGTTCCTTTCGCTGATCCGGCTGATATTCGAACTTTCGTCCGTTCTTGTTTGGATCAAAGTGATGCGACAGAGCTTTTTCGTGAATCTCTCGATGTTTTTTGTTCCAAGAAAAGATGAAGCTCTTTCTGCCATCAAGATACTCTTCGCTGAACTGTGAGAAAACTTTCCTTTTCGCCCAACGTGAAATAACCTCACGTTCCTCTTCGTCTTCGCCTTTGTATTTGTTATCTCCCCCGATAACGATGATGACATCTCCACCTGATAATAAAGCAGATTGAAATGTAAAAAGGCATAGCAGTACATATTTCCACACGATATGCAATTTTCAATGTTTTGTTGCTGGCCAGTGTGTTTGTATCTCCCATGTTAGACACACTTAATCAAATTCCTTTCTAATGACCAGATGTAAAATATGAAACAATGCGCCCCTTTGACGGAGCACCTGGTGTTACCGCCCTGCCGATATTTTTAATTGTAGCAATGATTTTTGTACGTTTAATTTTTATATTTTTTTTGTTTCTGTTTTTTCAATTGTATTTTGCTTACTGTCACACGTCTTATACATGAGCGTCGGGCTCGGCTACACAGGGCAACCTGATCCCACGCATTAACATTAATTTTTAATTGACTGATAGATGTATAATCCGTATTGCACGAAAGAGACCTGACATATACTATTTGATTAACGAAGTGTTTATGCAAAGGCCCTTGAGAAGTCTTCGGAATCTCATTTGGTTACTATTTCTGTACATTTTATTTGTGCTCGTGGAAATAAAACAAAGTACCTCGTTTCTAACAAAGAAATGACAGGGGATTAAGTTTAGATGATAAAACAAAGGAGTATGTCGACAGAAATACCGGATGTATAGTATATTCGTTACATGAGGTCACACAACTCGGGTAATATTCACGGTTAAAACTTGCACATTTGAGCGGTCGAACGAAAAAGACTATTTCTAGAAAACTAAAATATGTTTTCACAAAAAACTACATCACAATTATTCGGACATATTGGGCTAAAAAATATGAAAGTAGGAGTGAAAAATAATTTTGAGCGACTTTCCAAAATATTTCAAATTTGTTCGATGGATGCTGACATCCTCTCCTAACATGTCATCGAAATAACACTATGTTTCTTGGTTTATCTATGGTAATCGGAGATCCATTTCTTGTTACCCACAAAATTTCCTTTCATAATTCGAACGATTATTCAAATTAATTTCATTTGCTTTAAAAAAGCGTTTTGAACCCATGTCAGTGGTATAGATAACTGCTGATAGCTGACAAATGTTCACCTTTCCAATTCGGTTTCAATGGTAAACTGTTTTATCATATCAATTCTGCGTAGGAATATGCCTTGGCTGCTCAAAATCAGTATTCGAAGAGAGGCGCCCTGATTTGTTCAGTATTCATCATTGTGAGGAATTAATTCAATGTTCTCTTAGCCGTTATCCATTGAAGCAAATTGGCTTTTAAATATAAATTTGCTTTCACTCTTTAACTTATACAATCCTGAAGGTCCCTGACGGTTTCACTTACAGTTGCATGCATTTGATTTACTTACACCCAACTTGAACGAGTGGCATGCAAATGAAAATGCAAATAAATTACAGTATTCCCGGACTCGCAAATACGAACAATCTTCAGAATTAAATGACAAGCAATGAGTCATGTAAATCTTATATCTTAGTGGTTTGAACGATCGACGTTAAACCAAGTATTCAAGCCGACACATACGCACACGCAATTTGGGTTTAACCTCAAAAAACGAATTAAAATTGTCCCAAATTCTTGGAAACAGTTCCTTTTGTCTAATTTGTCTTATCATAAGCATTCGCCGGAAGTTTGCTTCCGTCTTCATTTAAGAAAGGAAAAAATAAAATCAACATTTATAAAATAAATGCAAGCACATTACCTTACATCGCCTAAAATTTTGATCGCCAACAAAAGAAGGAAAACAGATTATCGGAAACGGTTTTAGTCGCTTCCGCTTAAATCGTCCGCCGCTTTATCCACCGAATCACATCGCGTTAGTTTTATACAGTCGATTACTTTTCTTAGTTGCCAAATTAATCATACAAGGAAGATATTTTTCCTTTCTTGCTCGGCAGCAAATGAAAAAAGCGGTTCACAACTGAATAAAAAGACACAAACAACCCAGTCTCAAGCCGATTATCTGTTGCCTTCATTAAACCATTGTGTACCTTGTTCCAAGTTATTGTCAAGAGGCATTCGAGTGCATTTTTTTCCTCAGCGTAGGTATCTCAAACAAAGTGAAATTGTATTTCTGTACCGAGAATTCGAAGCCGGGTTTCGATTTCCTCGCTCGTAACAGATCCTCGACGACGCATGAAACAACTAGTCGCACTTTACCAATTTCCAGAGCAAGTGCCGAGAACTTCCAACCTCGATGTACATCTACGCTAATTTACTTTCGCTTTCGACTCATAAGTCTAATAGGCCTTTGTTAGGGAAAATGTACAACAGTTCCGCAGTAAATTTGATAAACTTGCCATTGCTTTTGTCAAAGAAATCGCTGCCTGCTGAACAATGCATTATTAAGCAAAATTAAATGTGTTTGTGACAAACAGATTTAATAATGATAAAAAAACTGAAAATGTTTCAGCTCCTTACCCGTTGCTTTTAGTAAATATTTTGGCGTAGCCAAATCCCGCGCCGTCCTCGTTTATCGAGAGTACACATTCATGTGCATGAACCACGAAAAAGGCCATATCCATCGCCAAGATGGGAATTCTGTCGACCATTTCAGACATTTTAGGAAGTCTGAAATAGTGCTTCTCAACAAGCTCAACATCGATGCCACATTTCTCCAGCAATTTTTCAACAGGCTCTAGCTTGTATGTGTTATCACAGTTGAAAAGATGAATTCGCTTTTTGAACTGAGACATCTTAGCTTTTTTTAATGTAGTTGTCGATAAAACCTGGCACAATTCGCTGAAATGGAAGGAGGAAATTCAACTACGTAACATTGCAAGGAAACCCGACACTATCCTTGATTGACTTTTATCATAGGAAAACATCACGCAACAGACTGGAAACGCATAACACCAATGCCAAACGCTTTCAAAGGCATTCAAAGGCATTCAGAGTCCAAGGTTCCTTGCTAAGCCGGTCAGCGGTACTAAGGCTGTGCATATTTAGTGCAAAGATAAATTCTTCACTATTCTGTGATTTTGTTCATCCATCCTTTTAAGGTTTAATTTGTTCCTTCATGGAATTGTATTGAGCAGTGGTGAACCAAGTGTATGTATCTATTTCATTAGCTCATGTTATAAAGCGCTCGGTGAGCGCTAAATACTCTTGATCAGTTTCACAGTTGCTGCCTATTGTTTTAAACCTATCTGTTTATTTTTTTGGCTTGTAGATCTGTGTTGTAAACTCTTTATGAGCCCCTCTGTTTAATTTATATTCGCTTGTGTTGTAAACTGCTGAGAGAAAGTGTTGTAAATTGGTGACAGCAAAAAATTGTGCTTATTTGTACTGTCGTAGATTGGTTACCATTGAAGGTTGTGTTTCGATTGTGTTCATATTTTGGTTGTTTTGTATATTGGTTATTGCCAAAGAGTTGTTTATTATTTACTTGGCTTGTGTTGCACGTGTTGTTGGCTCGTTGTTTGCCTCTCATTGGAAAATATACATTGATTTTAAAACATCAACAATCAATTTCTATTTTGTAGGAAAAAAAATGACATCCTTAAAAAATAAAGCCAATGGATTGAAAATAACATTATTCTTTGGGGTATGCTAACAGAAAATACATGTGTGGATAAATAAATGAATAAATAATGTGTGAATGAATAAACTTTTGGTGGTGTGTACATATTTCGTAGAAGGCTTGTTGTTGTATGATGTCTTTATTGATGTTTCTTGGCTTTTTCATCCACAATATCACAAGTATTTACCATTTTTTTATGACTGCCTTATCTACTCATGTTGTACTTTCAGTCATTTATTCTACTTTCCCAACCTTGTCAAAACTGACTTATTCCACATACACCTTCAAAATTATATGAGGAGAGATGAACTTGTTCTCATAGGGCATATCAAACAGAGTGTTCCTCAATTTACATCCGGTAGTTGTAACTGTGGTAATCACTCTGTCATTGTCTTTTCTTTTACCACAACACAAAGTAAGATTAAAAAAAACACATTGAGCAGAGGCTCACCTTACATTTTATTTCAGCCCTCCCATTTACATTTCTATTGACTGCCCTGATATTTTGGGAAAGTTTTATACAGGATTTGCCTTACCCTGTAACCCCTAGGAAAGAATCAGTATCTAATAACCCCCTACAATATCATTCCTTAATCAAAAATTTAGGTCACACGGATAAAGTAAATGATCATGGATGAAAGGTCTTGATTATTAAGAAAATAATTAATTATCATCATTATCACCTTAATAGGAAATGCATGGGGAAGAGTATGGAGAAGGTGCATACTGTATGATGTAACCAGCTGGGTGTAAAGGGTTAAGGTAATGTTTAAGTTATGTGCAGCATTAAATCTCTCTACTTGAGGTGCTCTTTACTTCTTGATGTTATCACTTTGAAATTTGTTTTTCTTTCCTTGAAACAGTAGATAAAAATATGTTAAATACAAAGCCACTGTTCATATGTTTACTTATGAATCACTTTTGGAGTTTAACTTCAAAAATGTTTTCTTTCCAGCCTGATGACCAACTGCTTTTTCTTCATTGAATGTTGTTAACACGCTTTAAGAAGTACCAGTCTACTGTATCTTTGATTTGCATTGTTGTTATGTTATCAGTGTGCAAAAATAGTTGAATTGCACAATCCAGGTTATTTTATTTAGAATGATGACTAGGTCAAAAAAGTTGGCACCAACCATGTATTTTTTTGACAAAATAAGCAAAGTCCATGTATTTTCTTCTTTGATTGAAACAGATTTGATATCTCAAGTACAGAGTTAATTTAGCATAACATATAATTGATTTGTCGTTGTTATCATGTGGTGGCAAACATTGATGTCATCCCCTTTGATAGAAATTTTGCATGGAGGTTTATTGGAGCTATACAATAAGGCTGTTTGAAGGATTGTAAAAATGAGGCAGGATCTTAACATTTTGCAGCATGAAACAAGATACACCCCTTGTGACTTACAATCTAATTTTAAATTCTAAATAATTTAAGAACATATGATAAACATTATGATAGTCTATTATCCAAGGGACTTAATCTTGCAAAGGGTAAAAGTTCTTTGAGATCATGTGGTGATGCCCAGCAAAGATTTCTGAGGATGTAACCACTTGCATTGTGACATTCTCAAAAAGGAAAAAATTGAGGATTCCCTTGCCAGCGAAGTTCCCTGCGCACAATAAAAAAAACCTGTTTCATATTTATTAAATTATCAAGACTGGTCGACAAATAGAGAAGCCTTGGCTGTACTCTGTTAGGCATGCGTATCATGCAAGAGTTAGTGTATAACTGGGTGTGTTGCAGTAGGACACTTTGTGAACGTATTGTTTTCATGTTTGTGACAGAAAAAGAGCATAACTTTCAAAAGAACGAAAATATCGTGTTACTTCACTTTATCTTAACTCTCACAAGTTCTTTGTGGTCTATTGTTTCTATTGTCTAAATACTTCTAAGCAAAAATAAAATGCATCGATGCCACGCTTACTGTGGTCTCCTTCGAAGCGAGCGAGGTGTGTGGACGAATATATGATCGCTCCATGTTAATGCAATTTTTTCCCTCTATGCCTAATCCAAATGTTAACTTGCTTGAAAAAGAAAATGAAAGCCTCAAATCAGAAATTGCTGCTCTAAAGAAAAATTTGAAGACTTTCAGAATTCGCTCAAACTTAGCGTCAACAATGCTAATGTCTCCAACAATGGCGGCGAAGTGAGTCGACCGGCGATATCACAGGACGAGACTTTGAACACCCTGCAATTTTACGGAAAGTCTTACGGTGACCTTCGCCTGGAAGCGGATACAAGTTTACAACAGCTCTGGTCACACCCAAATGTCCTGTCTAAACGAGTAGAAGAGATTGGGAAATCCATTGAGCTGATTCAGCGCTACAGTTATGAATACAGCGCAAAGATCGTCGGTCTCCCTGAAATAAAGGCAAGTGAGTCAGTCTCCGACACAACTACACTATGTCTTAGCCTCTTTCAAGCTGCAGGAGTTGAAATTTCTATTCAAGATATCGATATTGCTCATCGTACTCTCACCAGAAACGCCACTCCTGGCCCGAGACCAGTCGTTTGCAAGTTCACAAGAAGGATTGGTAAAGAGAAGGTCACGAATGTACGGAAAGATGCATGCAAGATTACAGCTACTTCAATTGGTTTACCTGCCAATTCCACACTAGAGAACGTGAAGCTTTTTCATCATCTAACTCCGCTGGTCCAACAACTCCTAGCGAATACGAAAAAATTTCAAACTCGTAATGGCTTTAGGTTTTCTTGGTGTAAGAACTTCATCATCTATCGTCGGCAAACCGAAGACTCCCGCCCTATCCAGTTCAAAACCCTTGACGACCTTGAAAAGTTTGCTCGGCAAGAAAGCCTACCTTTAAGCTAAGTTCTCTAAATTTTGTAACTTAGTCTGTAAATTAATTTGCTGCTTCTATGATGGTTGACAAGACACCCTTTCAATCTTTCCTTCCTTTTAATTACCTGGATAATAGTTCCTTTAATTTGGCAGTTTATGAATTTTCTTATGGTCCCTCGAGTTACGATGCTGACCGTCTTGAAACATTATTATTTAATCCTGTTGAAAGGCCCGAATTATTTAATCCACTCTCTAGTCATCTGAATCCCGACTCCAACTTTATCACTCGCCTACCCGATAGTGGCTACACGGTTGAGGAAGATCTGAGCAATCGAGTAGCTTCTTTTGGCGACAAAACAAACTTTTCTATTATACATTTAAACATTAGAAGCTTAATGTGAAATTTCGATCAACTTAATTCATTGCTGAGAAATCTAAATATGCCGTTCTCTGTAATTGGTGTGTCAGAAACTTGGCTAACTGATTGCACTGCAGAGCTCGTAAATACCACAGGATACAATTTTGTCTCCAACCGTTGTAAATCGAAAACGGGCGGCGGAGTTGGAATTTATTTACAAAACGGTGTTGAATACAAACTTCTCGAAGAATGCAAATTTTCAGATCCAGATGTAATTGAGTCACTTTTCTTAGAAATTATGGTTTCCCATGGAAAAAATATTGTTGGTTGCGTGTACAGACCACCAAATCAAAACACTGCTATGTTTATTGACAAATTCAACAATATTCTCTCACTAATTTCTACCGACAATAAACATTGTTATGTGACGGGAGACTTAAACCTAGACCTTCGTCAAACCTTCTTAGCTACAAGACGGAAATGCAAAAGTTTTTACTTAAATGATCACTGAATTGGCCTAGCCGCACATTCGCAGCACTTTTTTTTTACTTTATTTATAATAAAAGGTGATTCTCCTATAAGCCCGGTGGCTTCCTGGGTCTCCTCGCCTTCTAGCTATAACCGCTGTATATAATTCTTTTTTGTATCGTGTAAATAAGGCAAATAAAAAAGATGATGAAGCTGTTGTCCGCTCTTGCCACACAACGCCCTCTCTTCCCCGTTGAAGAGAGCGCGTTGAGTGACGAGACCAAATAACAGTTGCGAAAGAGTCGACTTACTGCCGTTTCTCTAACAGAGGAAAAAATTAAAAATTATTATTCTACAGTTAGCTGGCTCAAAATATGATTCCATGTAATTTTGTAATTTAACTACGAAAAGCAAACTAAAACTGTGTTATCTTTAATAGACCCTGTTGAAACCGCCTCACTCCCATGCGTAACACGAGTTCGATCATGTAACACAAGTTTTCGAGTAGATTTAATATGATTTGAGTTTCACCGATTAAAGTTAATATTCTAACAGGAAAAAGTTCGTGTGATCGTTACAGACCTTAGCCAAACATATATTGCGAATAAGTGAAGATACAATGAACAAGAGAAAGATATCCAAATGCTCAAAATGCGTCAATCTAATTGGTGCAAGAAACATACCACTCAAGAAGCTAACATAGTTATTTTTTGAATTAGAAAAAAAACTGAAAGAATCTTCCAAGATGCCATCCTTATTCTATATATGGTCTATAATCAAGCTGTCTGCCAGTAGAACTTTTAACTTGTTTCCATGGTCTCTCTCTTCCGTTTTCCTTTTCATCTAAATAAAACTAAGTCTTTATCGCTCTCTCTCATCAAACAAAATCACAACATAAGCTCATGAGCAAATATACTCTTTGAACGGTATAAACCATGATGATTTGTCAAATTTCAATCTTCAGAAGAAATGGATTTTAAGACTGTGAACAGTTCGATTTCGGCTTGCATCGAGGCGTCTGATATCACAGATTACAATAGCTGTCATGGCGGCTGGACCCACCTGGGCGAGCTCGCTACAATTTCTAGTACTCCTGCTTGGAACAGCAGTTTTAATCCAAGTGAGTATAAGTGGCGACTTTTTAGGGTCTTACCAGGCTACAAGCGTCTCAAAGACGTTTATTGCACCTGAATTCGTCTCATATTTGACAAACCACAGAAGATTTAAACCTCGTGCTAAACGATTTACTTCACGGAGGGTCCCACACACGGTCAAAGGAATAAGCAGCTTCAATCTGGAAAGGGATGTGCTTCTGTGCGGGGACGTGGCCATAAATCCTGGCCCGAAAGGGAAGAAGAAGTCTATGTTGAAATACCCATGCAGTGAATGCCACAAAGCAGTTAGAAACAACCAAAACGCCATCTTGTGTGCCACATGTGGAAACTGGTCACACGCTAAATGCCTCAATATGTCTCGGACTATTTTCCAGTACTACTTAGACCAGCCTGATATTGATTGGACCTGTCCAGCTTGTGCTCTACCGCCACTAACGGACTCCTTCTTTGAAGAAGTTTCTGAAGGTGATACACTTATTCCAGCTGAGGAGTATCAAGCGGAAACAACTCAAAATACGGCCTTCGAGCAGTTTCTTTACAGAGATGTCACAGAAATTACTTCTGAAAACGATCAGCTAGAACTCTTTAGGAAACATCACAATAAGGATTTCTTAATTGCCCACTTGAACATTAACAGCATCCAAAATAAATTTGAAGAACTGACCGAAGTAATCAAGAAAATAAACGCCCACATAATGTTCGTAAGTGAGACCAAGATCGACGCGAGCTATCCCAACTTTCAGTTCAAAGTTCCGAACTACTCCCTCTACCGAAATGATAGGAAAAAGGGCGGCGGTGGAATTATGGCTTTAATATCTCAATCGCTAGTCAGGACACAGCTTAAACCTGATAAATCCTCTAAGACACTGGAAATAATTGCCTTCGAAATCAAAACAGATATGGACAATATGGTAATTGTTGGTATTTATCGTCCCCCGAGAGCTCTGTGTGGCGAATATCAAACACTGTTGGAAAGCGAACTCAGTTATGTCTGTAACTGGGCAAGCTTGAACGGAAATTTTGTTGTAGTTACTGGCGACCTAAATCTGAACAGACTTCGCCCTGACAAACCTGAAGGTAAACTGCTTCTCGATTTGGAAGTTGAACAAGGTTTTGAATGTCTAATTACTAAGCCAACAAGAATAGAAAAGCGTGGAATAATTATAACAGAGAGTTTAATAGATGTTTTGCTCACTAATAGACCGGATAGCTTCCAGCTATCTGGTAATTACCATCCTTGCTTAAGTGATCACGACCTTGTTTACGGTGTCCTGAAGCAGAAAATAAATCACAACAAACCAAAGGTCATCACATTTAGGAGCTATAAGAACTTTGACCCTGAACATTATAAACAGCTTTTGTCCTCTGCCCCATGGCACGTTGGACAATTGTTTGATGACGTCGACGATCAAGTTTACGTGTGGAATGCACTTATGAACAATATACTGGACGAAGTGGCACCTGTGAAAAAAATGCGTGTGCGTGATAAAGATGTGCCCTACATGACGTCTCATTGGAAAAGTGCGATTAGAACTAAACGCAAAAGCAAATGACAAGTACTTGAAAGACAAAACGCCAGAAAATTGGGAATTACGACGTAAAGCCAGAAACGAGGCCACTAAACAAAGAAGAATCGCCATCAAACAGTACTGGTATAATAAGTCAAACGATTTGAAAATCAATCCCAAGGCGTTCTTCAAAACTTTCAAGCCATTTTTGGGCTCTAAGAGCTGTACTGAAAGAAACGACATCCACTTAAAAATAAACGGCAGTATGATAACGAATCAACAACAAGTGGCTGAGGAATTGGTTGAGCATTTTGCTACCTTGGCGGATGGCATTGGCGGTACAGCGATTGAAAGAAAGTCAATAGAGGACTTTAGAGACCATCCTTGTGTTCAGAGGATACAACATGAAAATAGGAATTCCACTCAGACCATCGAAATCGAATTGGTTACACAGGGACAAGTCCTTGCAGTTCTCGATTCGCTGAACATAAACAAAGCCACCGGCACTGATGGAATTCCTTCAAAGGCTTTAAAAACAGGTGCTAATGAATTATCCGCTCCACTAACCACCTTGTTCAATTCTTGTATTAACAAGAATGCATGGCCTAGTGAATGGAAGTATGGGCATTGGGCCCCAGTTTACAAAAAGGATGACAGGAATGCAAAGGAAAACTACCGGCCCATAACTCTCTTACCATGTGTAAGTAAAGTTCTTGAGAAGTTGGTTGGAGCGCAGATCAACTCTGGCTTTGGTAATCGCATTTACCAACACTCATCGGCTTATCGCAAAGCTCACAGTTGCGAAACAACATTGATCAATTTAGTAGAAGATTGGAGACTGGCGAGGGATCGAAAACAGGTTGTGAGCATACTTTCAACTGACATGTCAAAGGCATTTGACTCGTTACACCCACCACTACTTCTGAACAAGCTTGAAGCGTACGGTTTTCAGGAAAGCGCTATTCAACTTTTAAACAGCTATTTAAATGAACGGAAATATCAAGTAAAGATCGGCCGTCATGTTAGTTCGAGCCGATTCGTGAGTCGTGGCTGTCCTCAGGGTTCCACGCTTGGCCCGTTGTTATGGAATGTTTTCCAGAATGACCTATCCTACTGCCTAACAGCGAACTTGTCTATGTATGCCGACGACCATCAAATTTACCACGCAGGAGCAGACCAGGCAGCTGTGACTTCCCAGTTAAAGGATAGTGCCAACTCAGCAACAACGTGGTACGATTCTAACTTATTGGCGGGAAACCTCAAAAAGTACCAAGTTTTGAACTTGGGCTTCACTCAAAATGACAGCAATATTTGCGTGAATGATGTTGTGATTGAAACTAAAGATAATATCATACTTCTAGGAGTAGTGTTAGATTCTAAGCTAAATTTCTCTGAGCATGTAATCTCTATCTGTAAAAAGCCAGCCAGAGAATTGGTGTTCTAATGAGACTACGTAATTTAATTCCTATGAAATCTAAGTTAATATTATTCAAAAGCGCGATATTACCATTCCTCACGTACTGTCACCTAGTGTGGCATTTTTGTAAAAACGAGTGACACTCGAAAGCTTGAAAGACTACAAGAAAGAGGACTTAGAGCGGTTTTCAAGGATAATAATTCTAGTTATGAACAACTATTAGAGAAGGCAGATCTGCCAACACTACTAAATAGTCGCTTACAGGATCTGTGCATCCTTATGTATAAAGTAAAGCATAAACTGTGCCCTGCATATATAAGTAACATCTTTAAAGAACCAAATAGTAATTACAATCTGCGGCAAGCAGATTTCTCAATACCTAGGTATGAGACAGTCACCTATGGCAAGCACTCTATTAGATATTTAGGGCCTAGGCTATGGACAAAACTACCCAAGAGTATCAGGGACGTCACAACCCTAACGTCGTTTAAAAGCAAGATACGCCAACTCAATATAAGTGAACTTTTAGATGATGGCTGCGCAGGCTGTAGCCTTTGTTCATTTTGACTTCTGTGTATTTTTACTATAAATCTCTTAATGAGTTAAATATAGATATTTTACCTACTACTGTATATAGTTTTTTTTTTTTTTTTTTTTTTTAGTTTGTATATTCTCCCCTAATTGGTGTCCCCAAATTAGTAAGGGATTTGTTCCCTAGCTAGACGGTTTTTTGACACTTTAATAAAGTTTCTATCTATCTATCTATCTATCTATCTATCTATCTATCTATCTATCACATCAACTTGGATGAGCATCGCAACCGAAAAGACCTATTTCTGGAGGTTGAGTCAAGAGGAAGACATCAATTTAGTTCTCGTCCTTCGTTATCTGCCAGCTTCCTTATACAATAAGGTGAATTTAACAGTTCCTTTAACCTTTATGTTGCTAAAAAAGCCTCTTGTAACTTTAAAGGTTTAAGGCCTCCTTTTTCTCTGCAAAAAACTCGGTTGTTCTATCCAGTACTCCACTCTTAACCACGGATCGAAACTTTCCAAAACCATCTAAAATGACGTACAAGTCACCATACAGGTTCCCTCTAGATATTGTTTGTAAACGAGAAATTATGTGTGGGGGAAGGTAAACATCCCCTCGCAGAAACTGCACATCCTTTTCCTTAAAAGATACCTCTCCATTGCGGACACGAGTTTTCAAGACGAGTATTTCATCTTGAGAAAGCTTTACTTCCTTTCCTAATGAAAATCGTATCAAATTTTTATCAGTGGTCCACTCAAATGAGCCATTATGGTGTCTAATAATTCTTACACCAATCTCAGGGGTGTACGAGAACTTTTTAGAAATATCGTCAAAAATGTAACTGGGAATTTCAATTCCCAAGTTTCTTATATGAATATCACCAAACTTATCAGATAACTTTCCACAATGAAAGATACCTCTCAGCACAAGAATAGACGGGTAAACCACTGAGGATTGTGACGGCAACTGCGGAATATTTGGAGGGCCCTTTTCAACAATTGTTTCCTCCGCTGGAAGGTTTGTTCTCTCTCCAAATTGATGTGTATGTACGATCAATGAGTTGGCACGGATATCTGGTTCTTGTGAGCCTCTTGGACGGTTCATCTGAGTATTTGGTTCGAAGAGTTGCCTCAAAATCTTGATAAGATCATCTATATTCACACTGAGCTTCCCTTTGTTTAACTCCACTATGGACACCTTTTCTTCGTAACTTTTAAAGCGTCCCATGAATTGATCGACTGCACCTTCTTGCGTTGGTGATAGGTTAGTGGTTTTAGGACTGCAAACCAAGATGATGACTTTTACAACTGTGAAAACGAAAATGGGAAAAGGATATTATTAACCTTGTTAATAGCTTTTGTCCCGTTTGACATTCTGTAGGTTTGGGGGATGAAATTCACTGTCTCATTTTTTGACTTCCATGATATAAGGTTTTATGCAGGACTGAATACTGTGCTTTTGGGGAGACTCCTTACTTTACGCCAAGGCGTTCAAACGCAATCGCCACTAACTCTAATCCCATCCTAACACTGATAAGAAAAAAAAGCTACCTATAAACTTTTTAACAGAATAAAGAGCTGAAACCGACACTTGATCTATCTGAATTTTCGTGACCTTCCCTATCGGGCTTCTTTCGAGTTTTATCATTCTAAAAAAAAAACAGTAAAGGGACAACCAAAAAGAAATCAAGAAATGACAACGAGAATATCCAGTGGGACCTAAAGATGTCAACGGTTGAAGAGGAAATGGTTTAAAGGCTTCTAATTATACAGGATCTTGTGATGGTGTACTTGCTATTGATTGACTTAATGATCGATTGAATGACTAAATGATTGATTGAAAGACTTATTCTCTGCTGACTTACCAACTCTACGCAGTGCAGTTTCGAAACATCGTTGGTATTCCTCAAGTTTTCCTTTTCCAGAACTATCTTTTAGTGTAGACGCATCTATCACTAATACACAGACTCTGAGCAGATTTTCCATCAAAAATTGCTCAACTTTGTCGGGTTCTAGGTTTTCAAAAGTAGGATCTTCTGATAGGCGAAGACTGCAAAAATTTTTTTCCAAAATTTCCTTAAGATCAGCCATGGTTTCAGGTGACGCATTGCAGCTAAGAATCGCCAAATCTAAAGATTAAACAGCGGTGATTGTAACATTTATCAATCCCTCAACTTACAAGGTACAATGAACCAATGGCCAGCGCACAAGACAGAATCAACTTTTGTCTGTGAATTCTACAAACTGCTTTATTTTAATCATCAACAGATTCAGACCCAAGTTTTAATATATATATCTACCTTTAAATGACGAGGGTGGTCGTTGTAATAAATTCAAACAAACGTTTTATATTTTGCTTCAGAGCTTGTTTGTTTTTTACTTAACCAACAACTTCCAATCTACCATTACTACTTAAAACCCCTTAAATTGATTACTGTGTCGATACAGTCGCAAATTAAAATGCATTTCCTACCAGTAAATTGTTGAATTGTCCAATAATTTCTCACCTTGCTACCGAGACCGAAACAAAGATGCACGAAAGCGTGACACCTACGCGAGTTGATTTCGCTGTCGCGTAATAGGGTTCATATGTCAAAAAAGAAATTCCGATTTTTGAGAAAAACATCCAAAGATACGGAGGTATGGGCGAAAACTTTTAAGTTTGCTTTGGCTTGAACTCAAGAGTCTTCGCCCATTCAAAGCGACCTTTTAGACCCAATAGAACCCGATATATTACTATTTTGGGCAAGGAATCGCTAACAGTAATTTACAAGCATACACGCTTCTGCGTCATATTTTCTCGTATATAAAACTTTGATAACTGAAAAAATTACCCCTTCGAACTAGACACAAGTAGGTGCTCAATTACTGGGGTACTTTCGGACCGTTGAATTGGCAGCAGTAGATAAGAGTACTGCTTTGTATACAAATGAACTCAAATGTCCGATGACCTTGCATACATGAAGACAACAGTTCCGCAGAATAAAAGCATACTGATCTTTACTTGACACCAAATTTGTGACCTCTAACACTTCTCAACATCTGAGGTATTCAGTTTTTTTTTAAAGTTTTCAACGCTTTCAAGCAATATAATTCGTGGACCGACCCGTTCCGAAAACGCTCAACACCTTTTAGTGTGGGCTCATCAATGATGTGTGCATCTGTAAGTGAGAGGAGCGGAATTATTCTAGCGCAGTTACGAGTTTCTTTGGTAATGCACTCGCGATTCCCATTCCCCGTTTCCCGCATCTCCGCTAAGAACGCTAGGGACTATGATGAAGACAGACGAAAGCTCGGGTAATGACTGACTGCTATACAAACCAATTTAAAAATAGAGTGCCTGTTGTTCACAAGGATATCTTGCTGAATCATTATCTAACCTTTGATTTCTCCAGAGCTTGGAAGGAAGATATTTCTAGAACCGTCGCGATTCTTGGTAGTTCTGACGCCTGTAAGATGATTATCGGTCAGTTTTTCTCTAGCCGCCGTCAATGCAGTGGCGACTTCATCATTGTGCAAAGGACTTTTCGGTGTCCGCAGATTTTCGAATTCTGTAGATGTTGCCTGCGGTAGAGATTTAGGGTTTGTTTCTTGAACTAGAAGTGGCAGCTGATATCCAAACTTTAGTCCTATCTTGTTTGGATCAAAGTGATGCCGCAGAGCTTGTTCGTGAATCTCTCGATGTTGTTTGTTCCAAGAAAAGATGAAGCTCTTTCTGCCATCAAGATACTCTTCGCTGAACTGTGAGAAAACTTTTCTTTTCGCCCAACGTGAAATAACCTCACGTTCCTCTTCGTCTTCGCCCTTGTATTTGTTATCTCCCCCGATAACGATGATGACATTTCCACCTGATAATATAGCAGATTCAAATGTAAAAAGGCGTAACAGTACATATTTCCACACGATATGCAATTTTCGGCCAGTGTGTTTTTATCTCCCATGCCAGACACACTTAATCAAATTCCTTTCTAATGACCAGATGTAAAATATGAAACAATGCGCCCCTTTGACTGAGCAGCAGCTGACAAATGCTCACCTATTCAATTCGGTTTCAATGGTAAACTGTTTTATCATAACATACAAATTCTCAGTAGAAATATGCCTTGGCTGCTCAAAATCAGTATCCGAAGAGAGGCGCCCTGATTTGTTCAGTATTCATCATCGTGAGGAATTAATTCAATGTTCTCTTAGCCGTTATCCATTGAAGCAAATTGGCTTTTAAATATAAATTTGCTTTCACTCCTTAACTCATACAGTCTTAGAGGTCCCTGACGGTTTCACTTACAGTTGCATGTATTTGATTTACTTACACCCAACTTGAACGAGTGGCATGCAAATGAAAATGCAAATAAATTACAGTATTCCCGGACTCTATACGTTTTTTATTACTTTTCAGAGCAAATACGAACAATCTTCAGAATTAAATGACAAGCAATGAGTCATGTAAATCTTATATCTTAGTGGTTTGAACGATCGACGTTAAACCACGTATTCAAGCCGACACATACGCACACGTAAATTGGGTTTAACCTAAAAAAAAGAACTAAAATTGTCCCAAGATTCTTGGAAACAGTTCCTTTTGTCTAATTTGTCTTATCATAAGCATTCGCCGGAAGTTTCCTTCCGTCTTCATTTAGGAAAGGAAAAAATAAAATCAACATTTATAAAATAAATGCGAGCACATTACCTTACATTGCCTAAAATTTCGATCGCCAACAAAAGAAGGAAAACAGATTATCGGAAACGGTTTTAGTCGCTTCCGCTTAAATCGTCCGCCGCTTTATCCACCGAATCACATCGCGTTAGTTTTATACAGTCGATTACTTTTCTTAGTTGCCAAATTAATCATACAAGGAAGATATTTTTCCTTTCTTGCTCGGCAGCAAATAAAAAAAGCGGTTCACAACTGAATAAAAAGACACAAACAACCCAGTCTCAAGCCGATTATCTGTTGCCTTCATTAAACCATTGTGTACCTTGTTCCAAGTTATTGTCAAGAGGCATTCGAGTGTATTTTTTTTCCTCAGCGTAGGTATCTCAAACAAAGTGAAATTGTATTTCTGTACCGAGAATTCGAAGCCGGGTTTCGATTTCCTCGCTCGTAACAGATCCTCGCACTTTACCAATTTCCAGAGCAAGTGCCGAGAACTTCCAACCTCGATGTACATCTACGCTAATTTACTTTCGCTTTCGACTCATATGTCTAATAGGCCTTTGTTAGGGAAAATGTACAACAGTTCCGCAGTAAATTTGATAAACTTGCCATTGCTTTTGTCAAAGAAATCGCTGCCTGCTGAACAATGCATTATTAAGCAAAATTAAATGTGTTTCTGACAAACACAATTAAATAATGATAAATAATGATAAAAAGAAAACTGAAAATGTTTCAGCTCCTCACTCGTTGCTTTTAGTAAAGCCCGGTATATTTTGGCGTAGCCAAATCCCGCGCCGTCCTCGTTTATCGAGAGTACACATTCATGTGCATGAACCACGAAAAAGGCCATATCCATCGCTAAGATGGGAATTCTGTCGACCATTTCAGACATTTTAGGAAGTCCGTAATAGTGCTTCTCAACAAGCTCAACATCGATGCCACATTTCTCCAGCAATTTTTCAACAGGCTCTAGCTTGTATGTGTTATCACAGTTGAAAAGATGAATTCGCTTTTTGAACTGAGACATCTTAGCCTTTTTTAATGTAGTTGTCGATAAAACCTGGCACAATTCGCTGAAATGGAAGGAGGAAATTCAACTACGTAACATTGCAAGGAAACCCGACACTATCTTTGATTGACTTTTACCATACGAAAACATCACGCAACAGACTGGAAACGCATTACACCAATGCCAAACGCTTTCAAAGGCATTCAAAGTCCAAGGTCCCTTGCTAAGCCGGTCAGCGGTACTAAGGCTGTGCATATTTAGTGCAAAGATAAATTCTTCACTATTCTGTGATTTTGCTCATCCATCCTTTTAAGGGTTTAATTTGTTACTTCATGGAATTGTATTGAGCAGTGGTAAACCAAGTGTATGTATCTATTTCATTAGCTCATGTTATAAAGCGCTTGGTGAGCGCTAAATACTCTCGATCAGTGTCACACTTGCTGCCTATTGTTTTAAAACTGTCTGTTAATTGTTTTGGCTTGTAGATCTGTGTTGTAAACTCTTTATGAGCCCCTCTGTTTAATTTATATTCGCTTGTGTTGTAAACTGCTGAGAGAAAGTGTTGTAAATTGGTGACAGCAAAAACTTGTGCTTATTTGTACTGGCTTGTGTCATAAATTGGTTACCACTGAAGGTTGTGTTTCGTTTGTGTTCATATTTTGGTTGTTTTGTATATTGATTATTGCCAAAGACTTGTTTATTATTTACTTGGCTTGTGTTGCACGTGTTGTTGGCTCGTTGTTTGCTTCTCATTGGAAAATATACATTGATTTTTAAAACATCAACAATCAATTTATATTTTGTAGAAAAAAAATGACATCCTTAAAAAATAAAGCCAATGGATTGAAAACAACATTATTCATTGGGGTATGCTAACAGAAAATACATGTGTGGATAAATAAATGAATAAATAATGTGTGAATGAATAAACCTTTGGTGTCGTGTACATATTTCGTAGAAGGCTGGTATGATGTCTTTATTGATGTTTTTTAGCTTTTTCATCCACAATATCACAAGTATTTACCATTTTTTTATGGCTGCCTTATCTGCTCATGTTGTACTTTCAGTCATTTATTCTACTTTCCCAACCTTGTCAAAACTGACTTATTCTACATACTCCTTCAAAATTATATGAGGAGAGATGAATTTGTTCTCATAGGGCATATCAAACAGAGTGTTCCTCAATTTACATCCGGTAGTTGTAACTGTGGTAATCACTCTGTCATTTGTCTTTTCTTTTACCACAACACAAAGTAAGATTAAAAAAAAAAAAACACATAGAGCAGAGGCTCACCTTACATTTTATTTCAGCCTCCATTTACATATCTATTAACTGCCCTGATATTTTGGGAAAGTTTTATACAGGATTTGCCTTACCCTGTAACCCCTAAGAGGGATTAGTATCTAGTAACCCCCTACAATATCACCCCTTAATCAAAAATTTAGGTCACACAGATAAAGCAAATGATCATGGATGAAAGGTCTTGATTATTAAGAAAATAATTAATTATCATCATCAGCACCTTAATAGGAAATGTAAGGGGAACAGTATGAAGAATATGCATACTGTATGATGTAACCAGCTGGGTGTAAAGGGTTAAGGAAATGTTTAAGTTCTGTGCAACATTAAATCTCTCAACTTGAGGTGCTCTTTACTTCTTGATGTTGTCACTCTGAAATTTGTTTTCTTTCCTTGAAACAGTAGATAAAAATATGTTAAATACAAAGCCACTGTTCATATGTTTACTTATGAATCACTTTTGGAGTTTAACTTCAAAAATTTTTTCTTTCCAGCCTGATGACCAACTGCTTTTTCTTCATGGAATGTTGTTAAAATTGTGTGCAACTCAACATCACTTGATATTGGAAATTGTGTATTATGCTGCTCGTGTTTACCGGGTGTTTATGCTATTAGTTAGACTGCATCTTGCAGGCCTGTCATACTCTGCATGTGTCCACATATGCAGTACAGATGAAAGGAAAAAGCTTCGATGTTGGCTCAAAACACTCTTTAGGAAATACCAGTGTATTGTATCTTTGTTTTGGGTTGTTGTTATACAATACAATACAATACAATAACACAATAAGAGTTTATTGTGAAAATACACTTAGCTACAATAATGGTGTGTTATGTTATCAATGTGCAAAAATAGTTGAGTTACACAATCCAGGTTTTCTATTCAGCATGATGATTAGGTCAAAAAATTGGCACCAACCATGTATTCTTTTGACATGATAAGCAAAGTCCATATACTTTCTTTATTGATTGCAACAGATTTGCTATCTCAAGTAGAGTTAATTTAGCATGACATATATGTGATTTGTCTTTGTTATCATGTGGTGGCAAACCTTGATGTCACAATCTACCTTTGATTGAAATTTTTCATGAAAGGTTAATTGGAGCTATACAATAAGGCTGTTTGAAGGGTTGTAGAAATGAGGCTGGATCTCAACATTTTTCAGCAAGAAATAAAATATACCCCTCATGACTAGCAATCTGACCTTGAAATTCTCAATAATTTAAGAACATATGATAAACATTATGATAGTCTACTATTCAAGGAACTTAATCTTGCAAAGAGTAAAAGTTCTCTGAGATCATGTGGTGATGCCCAGCAAGGATTTCTCAGGACGCAACTCCTTGCATTGTGACATTTTCACACTGTACCATTGAGGATTGCCTTGCCAGCGAAGTTCCCTGCACACAAACAAATGAAAATTTGTTTCAAATTTATTAAATTATCAAGACTGGTTGACAAATAGAGAAGCCTTGACTGTACTCTGTTCTGTTGGAAAGCACACCGGAAGCAGAAAAACATTAGGTACAAACACAGGCATGCGTATCATGCAAGAATTAATTTTTAACTGGGTGTGTTGCGGTAGGACACTTTGTGAACCTACTGTTTTCATTTTTGGAACAGAAAAAGAGCATAACTTTAAAAAGAACGAAAATATTGTGTTGCTTCACCTTACGTGTGTCTAGTGCTGGGTTTTAGCGGTACTTCAGTGGGGTCTTGTTTTGTGTAGGTTTGATTGCAAGTTCAATTCAACAATTTGAACAAGAATTTATTAAAATAATTTTAGCCGCAAGGCTAGGTGGCTAAAATCTGGAATACAGAGACTGGAACATAGACATCAGGGATGAACAAGTTTATTGTAAAAAAACAGCCTGCATTACAAAAGGAACCATAACTGTATGTATTTGATACAATAAGTAAGAACAAAACATGATTCAAGTTAGGAATTGTGATTTTTTTTCTTTTACATCAGAAAATTTAATGAACATATAACTGTAATATAAAAAAGAAATAGAAAGTTAAACAACAGGAGAGTATGAAGAAATGCGAACAGCTCTACTACTTGATAATTACTGAAGGTTTCAACTGAGACGGGTTCAACTGTTGTAATTGAAAATTATAAGTGGCAACATCAGTAATCTGCATTAAAAGCCTTGAGTTCCTGTTGAAACTTTCTCTTCTCAATGTATAAGCATTAAAAATACTGTTCATAAATGTACTTCAGTTGCAGTTTTCAATTGAATGTACAAACTTAATAAAATATATAATATCTAAATACTTTTAAATACAAAAAGTCACTTGGGAGAAGGGGAATGCTATAACAGAACATTGTCCCAGTGATGATAACATGAACATTTTTGTCTTTAGTGAAAGATACAACAATGGCTTTGGTATCCTGTTAAATGGTAATATAGAGTGGATGCATTCTGATCTTTACCATTATTTTGGTTCTTGCTGCATGCAGTTTAGTTCTCTGCAACACTGACTGCAGCCACAACTTTAGTTTTCTTCTCAAACGTAACAAAGAGCATTGGTGTATTTAGGAATGCTTCAACAACAATATCTTCACTTAATGACTACTTAGTGTCAACTTTAAACAACTGTAAGGTACTGAACAAAGTATCATTAAAAAATGTTACAGTGGTGTTAATGTCATCATGTCTCAGCAATGCTTGCAAGTGGTACTGACTGCTGCAAGCAGACACTTTCTGCCTGAGGCCACATGTTTCACACTTTACTACATTCCCTGGTGTTGCTGGAAGCTTTTTGTTACATTTGCAACATTGGCAACAGCACATGAAATTTTGAACACCAAGGACTTCAGCATTTGTTGATGTTTGGGTGAAGTAGTCTGGCAAATCACCTGGTTAGGCTACTTCCTCTTGGAAGGGATCAGCTGGTGAAATGGAACAGTCATGCTTTGGTGTAGTAAGGTAAATGGAGTAGTTGTCATTATCCTTCGTCACTTTAAAGTTACAGAAGTTATATGTGTTGTCGTCTGCAACTTCTGTAATCAGGTCCTCCCACAGGGTTAGTTTGATTGATCCAGATGGATCTAGGAGGCAACAATCAGCTTTCGACTTCGTGCCATCTCTCGTGATTATTTTCTTCACTCCAGATAAGTGGACTACTTTGGCTTTGAGATTAATAAGTTGGTTATTGGTGACATTCAAGAGCATCGAGATGTTTAGAGTCAAGGGAATCTCTTCTCGTAGAAAAGGGACCTCCTTCAGTTCTTCTATTTGGACTCTTGCATTCATGAGAACACTGTCATTTTTAATAGCGAAGTTGCTAATCTCTACTGGGGACTTTTGTTTGCTGCATCTTTCAAAATCGAGATGCTTGCTTGAAGAGAAACAGACTCCACGTACTTTGGTCACTTCTGTTTGAATAAGCATGTCAAAATAGCGAGTCTTGTTGGAGTGCTTAACAAGGGATACGTTATGAATGTATCCTGTTAGGTTGTCCATTGTCGTTCAAGTCCTATTACAACTGAGGTGTGTCTACCTGGAGAGCGCAGAGAAATAAATGGTATCAGTAACTGTGGGTTGTAGAACAGGTATCAAAGAAAACTGCAATCTGTATGTACTATAGGGCACAAAAGCAATAATCATAAAATAAACATACCTGGATATGTGTTGCATATCACATATCTGCAGATTACCCCTTAGATGTCAATCACAGTGCATGATTGGTATCTAAGGTGTACATTTGAGTTAA